CAGGCAACAGTTGGGTCTAACAGAAGGCCATGAACAACTCCTTAATTTTCTTTCCTGAATCTGAGCTACGGGGTCTATATTTCAACTTCTTTTCCCCTGAAGGTCTTAGTCATGGAAAAGGGATCATACAGTATATTGGTTAAATTAGATAAGTGATTTTCTTTAGCAGGTCTAAGTATTCAATAAATCTATTCCTTTGCAAATATAATATAGAATTGCTTTTTCAATTTTTCATCTGCTTAGATCTAGGAAATTCTAGCTTTAAGAAAGAAGTTGAACAAAATTTCATAGCCACTCTGTGGCATTGCAAAGTCTATTGCTTTGCTTTTTGTTTAGATTTTCTTTTATCTGTCATTTCTGTTTTGACACATTTTCCAGCTCTTGTTACCAACCATTCTCATTATTACCATTAAATTATGAATGATGGTTTAATGAACAATGGAACATTCAGCTATGCTACAGCTTTTTCTACTTCTTTGCTTTGCATTCACCAGCAAACTGACTGATACACTTACAAAAGAGATAAAATGGCATGTTTGCCTAGATTAGGAAGGATCTGGACTTCAAGATCAAGATGTACACTTCACTGTTACTGTTCTGTGATAACGTCAGTTCATCATACTGTCTTTTACATGCCAGTAATCACTCTACCTTCACACACCAAGTCTCCCAGAGTCTGAGCTCAGCATGCAGGAAGAGAAAATTAAATACAGCTGACTGAAGGTCTCCTTTCCATTTAGCATTCCATATAAAAAGAAATGGTATTTCATGTAATCTAATCACTCTCATACCTTAAGTATATAATCATCATCACAATTTCTCTTTCACAACATCGTCAACAAATGCAGTGCCTCACCTTGTCAGATTTCTATATCCACCAATGTGATCTCACCTTTTAAAAGGAATTAAATCATTGCAATAATAATTATATAAAAAAATCTCCCGTGTTTCCGATGCAATTTGTGTGGAAATCCATATAATTTTCCCCCCTGTGAGGAAAATGGAAGATAAGGACAAGAAAGGGATCTAATTTATCCACTTCACATACCATGTGTTAACACACATTAACGTATCCTTGTCTGTGGGCCATTAGGTACCTAGGTTTATTTTTACTGTTATTAGTAACTGTTAATGCACTAGCTTCTACACAAAAGTTATGCCATTCAGTTACAGACCCATTGTGCTCAGCCCTCCAGAAACACAAAACAACAGATTGTAGACCTGAGGGGTCGAGTCTAAGAGCCTGCACATACCTCACAGAGGCTCTTTTGAATATTTCTGGCATTAATGTCTTGTTAAAGTACAACCTGGGACACAATGAATAGGATAATTGAAAAGCTTAAGTGATACAATATGCAGGAATGGGTGTCTAGGAAAGATGCTACATCATGCTTCAGGTCTCTGCAGCACCTGGCACTTCACATTGATCAACTATGCCTCACATTTCTGTTATATAGGGAAGTATTAGTAACTCCACAATTTGTGTGAGACAAAATTGAAATGCACAGTGATTGAGGACAGTATTTTCATGCTTGAAAGTCAACACCCATATTGTGACCATATATCTGACTGTGAATCCTTGATGATACAGCTCCAGCTTCATAACTACTTTGAGCTGACCTAAGTGTAGTTGTTTTTTAAGGGAATATTTCTACCTTCTGCTCTCTGACCTAGCCATGTTCCCTCCCCTGGGCCTGAACAAGGTGTGTAGATGCATAATGGGTCAGATCAGGAAACTGGTTTAGCTGAAAGTCCACAAAAAAAAAAAAAAAAAAAAAAAAAAAAAAAAAAAAAGCTGAGCAAATGTCTTAGTCACATCAAATGGATCATGAAACTGCACCCTCGGGTTCAACACCTCTGCACTGCACTTTGGAAGAGCTCTGCTTGAAGTAGCTGGAGGTGAAATGAATGAGAGGACACCTGGCTCTGCTGTGCCTGTTTGAGGAAAAAGCTTTACTGTGCACCAAGGGCTTGGACTTCTCCCTGCCTGAGTGACTCAGAGCTCACCAGTATCATGCTTGCATAGAGGAGAGGCTTGGGGATTAGTGGCCCTCTGTCTTGAATGGAATAGTAAAGATATTCTTTCAGCTGCTCTGCTCTGCATCCTGCTCCTGTAGGTGGGATAGTACCTTTCTCTCACTCCTTATGTCATACAGCACTGTGGTGCCATTTTGTCCTCACTTCTCAAATAATCCCATCACTGCCCACCTTCCCTTCTCCTGTGCAAGTAACCCAGATGTTTTCCTTTGCCACAAATATCCCCAAAGCTTCCACTTCATCACTGTTTCTTCCCCTGACCCCACAAGCTCCCTTGCCTCCTGATTTTTGACATTCTCCAGCTTCAGGCCATTTTGGCCAACAGCCATACTTTGGCAGGGCAAGTCAACAGCACACCCCAAAGCCTCCTACTTCTTTTGACCTGAATACGCTCAAAGCACTTGCCAGTATTTCAGATCTGTTTCTAAATAGGCAACCCAGAACTGAGGGGTGCCTCCAGCCCACCTTCATAAATTCCAAGGCTAGATGACAACTAGAAGAAAACCTTAATTTAAAAAAAAAAAATAAAAAAAATCACTTTGTCCTATTAAAGCAGATTTCATCTAATTGGAAACAATAAAGCTAATTAAAAAAAAAAAAAAAAAGCCGAAATGTTCCCCTTGGGCTATGTTTATCATTGAAACACTGCCATTTTATGAAACAAAATGACAGCACTGGGTCTGGTTTGTAGCCAGTATGCTGCAAGGCTTCAAGAACAGTTTTATCATAATTTAAATCAATAGACAATGCTGAACATTTTAGGAAAACAAAGGGGAAACTATGTAGGATGCTTTCAGTAGATGAGTGCCCCAAGCAGTTCCCAAACTTTGTTGTGGCCAAGAGGTTCTCAACTGGTTGGCTCTATCCTTTCGTCTTATGCTGCTAAGGAATCATAGAATCATAGAATATCCTGAGTTGGAAGGGACCCTTAAGGATCATCAAGTCCAACTCTTGACACCGCACAGGTCTACCCAAAAGTTCAGACCATGTGACTAAGTGCACAGTCCAATCTCTTCTTAAATTCAGACAGGCTCGGTGCAGTGACCACTTCCCTGGGGAGCCTGTTCCAGTGTGCAACCACTCTCTCTGTGAAGAACCCCCTCCTGATGTCAAGCCTAAATTTCCCCTGCCTCAGCTTAACCCCGTTCCCGTGGGTCCTGTCACTGGTGTTAATGGAGAAAAGGTCTCCTGCCTCTCGACACCCCCTTACGAGGAAGTTGTAGACTGCGATGAGGTCTCCCCTCAGCCTCCTCTTCTCCAGGCTGAACAGGCCCAGTGCCCTCAGCCGTTCCTCGTACGTCTTCCCCTCCAGGCCTTTCACCATCTTCGTAGCCCTCCTCTGGACACTCTCCAACAGTTTCATGTCCTTTTTATACTGTGGTGCCCAGAACTGCACACAGTACTCGAGGTGAGGCCGCACCAGCGCAGAGTAGAGCGGGACAATCACCTCCCTCGACCTACTAGCGATGCCGTGCTTGATGCACCCCAGGACACGGTTGGCCCTCCTGGCTGCCAGGGCACACTGCCGGCTCATATTCAACTTGCTGTCTACCACGACCCCCAGATCCCTCTCTTCTAGGCTGCTCTCCAGCGTCTCAACGCCCAGTCTGTACGTGCAGCCAGGGTTTCCCCGTCCCAGGTGCAGGACCCGGCACTTGCTCTTATTGAACTTCATGCGGTTGGTGATCGCCCAGCTCTCCAACCTATCCAGATCCCTCTGCAAGGCCTTTCCACCCTCAACAGAGTCCACAACTCCTCCAAGTTTGGTGTCATCAGCAAACTTGCTCAAAATACCTTCTATTCCTGTTGCCGACGGAAGGAAGACACAGCACATCAATATGAGTGAACAGTGAACTTCAACTTTAATGGATAGCTCAGTTGCCTTTTATCTAGTTTGAACATAATCAACTCATACATATTGCAGGAACTAAGCTCAGGATTGGCTAACACTTCCCGGGCTTTTCGGTCTGGTCCTCCTTCTTTTAGCTACCTGTCCCGCCTTAGGGACTTTCCCGATCGCCCAAGGGCATCGTGTCCTTGAGCCTGATTGGCTCTCAGCCAGCTGCGTACGTGCCAAGGCTCATGTGAGTTGAGTACGGTGCTTCACCAGCCCATTGTCTCCCAACTGCTCAACATTCACATGTCCTGCCTCACTTAACGATTCCTCCACATATTCCTATATCCAGATCATTTATAAAAGTATTGAAAAGTACCGGCCCTAAAATGGAGCCTTGAGGGACCCCACTGGTGACCGCCCGCCAGCCTGACGCAGCCCCATTCACCGTAACCCTTTGGGCCCTGCCCGTTAGCCAATTGCTCACCCATCGTATGATGTTTTTATTTAGCTGTATGGTGGACATTCATGTTCTCAGAGGCTACGATGAAGCTGGTGTTGAACTTCCTCTTAATACCGAGGAACATTCCCTGAATATATCACTCCAGAGCATGTTTTCCAAATCCTTAATTACATTTTATGGATCTTCCCTGAGCCTTGTCCAAATTATCAACACTCCTCCCCAATTGCAGGAAGCTAAACTGCAAACAGCTTTCCTATGGCTGCTGCCATAGGAAACACCCTATGGATATAAGATGACCTGACTGCACGACGCTTCCCTGGATGGCACACGAAAGCACAGCACGTGTCTGAAAATCCCACCTTTGGGCAGGTACAGGCAGAAACCGAGCTGATGAGGCCATACATCACAGCTGCCATAGCACAGTCCCATGGGGCGACTACAACATGTGTACGACATCTGCTTGAAAATGCAAGGCCGGTGACAACCCATTCCACCCTAGAATGAAGCCAGATCAGCTAAGCAGTGGTTGGCTGAGCCCACTCTGAGGTCATAATCCCATGACTTGGGAACAACAGGCTTCAAAAAAAGGCTATTTTTACGGGCCTTGCCTCCTGTAACAGCACAGGACGGAGAGGAGCAAGGGGTGATCCGAGCGCCCGCCTGTCCCCGAGGCACACAGTGGCAGCGGGTGTCCAGTTGTGTCTGGAAGCTGGACACCCCCAGGCTTCAAATCCTTGGTGGGAGAGAGGCACCAGGCGACTTCCAAACAGCCTCACCTCACTTCTGAGATGGTGGACTACTACAAAGTCCTTGGACTGCAAAAAAACGCCTCCCAGGATGACATTAGGAAATCCTACCGCAGGCTGGCACTGCAATGGCATCCTGATAAGAATCCCAGCAACAAGGAGGAAGCCGAAAAGAAATTCAAAGCTGTCGCTGAGGCATATGAAGTTTTGTCAGACGCTCAGAAACGGTCACTCTATGACAGGTCTGTTAAGGAGAGCATTTCCCACAGAGCAAGAAGTCCCTCGATGGGTCATAACAGCTTTTTTGACGCCACTTATGTATTCCAAGACCCCAGTGAGATCTCTAGGGATTTCTTTGGAGGGATGGATCCCTTTGTGCATGCTTTCTGGGACCCATTTGACAACCTCAGGAATGGTGATGAAAACAAGCAGGGTCCAAGTGGAAGAGGAAGCTGCTCCAGTTTGTTTTCTGACTTCGTGCAGTCTTTCATGCCAGTTTAATCCATTCAGCCCCAGTGAGCAGCCCACCTTCTCCTTTGCTGAGGACATGGCTGAGCCACACAGTTTCAGATCAGTCTTGACCACTACTGAAGGGATCAACGGCAAGAAGGTCATAGAATATCCTGAGTTGGAAGGGACCCTTAAGGATCATCAAGTCCAACTCTTGACACCGCACAGGTCTACCCAAAAGTTCAGACCATGTGACTAAGTGCACAGTCCAATCTCTTCTTAAATTCAGACAGGCTCGGTGCAGTGACCACTTCCCTGGGGAGCCTGTTCCAGTGTGCAACCACTCTCTCTGTGAAGAACCCCCTCCTGATGTCAAGCCTAAATTTCCCCTGCCTCAGCTTAACCCCGTTCCCGTGGGTCCTGTCACTGGTGTTAATGGAGAAAAGGTCTCCTGCCTCTCGACACCCCCTTACGAGGAAGTTGTAGACTGCGATGAGGTCTCCCCTCAGCCTCCTCTTCTCCAGGCTGAACAGGCCCAGTGCCCTCAGCCGTTCCTCGTACGTCTTCCCCTCCAGGCCTTTCACCATCTTCGTAGCCCTCCTCTGGACACTCTCCAACAGTTTCATGTCCTTTTTATACTGTGGTGCCCAGAACTGCACACAGTACTCGAGGTGAGGCCGCACCAGCGCGGAGTAGAGCGGGACAATCACCTCCCTCGACCTACTAGCGATGCCGTGCTTGATGCACCCCAGGACACGGTTGGCCCTCCTGGCTGCCAGGGCACACTGCCGGCTCATATTCAACTTGCTGTCTACCACGACCCCCAGATCCCTCTCTTCTAGGCTGCTCTCCAGCGTCTCAACGCCCAGTCTGTACGTGCAGCCAGGGTTTCCCCGTCCCAGGTGCAGGACCCGGCACTTGCTCTTATTGAACTTCATGCGGTTGGTGATCGCCCAGCTCTCCAACCTATCCAGATCCCTCTGCAAGGCCTTTCCACCCTCAACAGAGTCCACAACTCCTCCAAGTTTGGTGTCATCAGCAAACTTGCTCAAAATACCTTCTATTCCTGTTGCCGACGGAAGGAAGACACAGCACATCAATATGAGTGAACAGTGAACTTCAACTTTAATGGATAGCTCAGTTGCCTTTTATCTAGTTTGAACATAATCAACTCATACATATTGCAGGAACTAAGCTCAGGATTGGCTAACACTTCCCGGGCTTTTCGGTCTGGTCCTCCTTCTTTTAGCTACCTGTCCCGCCTTAGGGACTTTCCCGATCGCCCAAGGGCATCGTGTCCTTGAGCCTGATTGGCTCTCAGCCAGCTGCGTACGTGCCAAGGCTCATGTGAGTTGAGTACGGTGCTTCACCAGCCCATTGTCTCCCAACTGCTCAACATTCACATGTCCTGCCTCACTTAACGATTCCTCCACATATTCCTATATCCAGATCATTTATAAAAGTATTGAAAAGTACCGGCCCTAAAATGGAGCCTTGAGGGACCCCACTGGTGACCGCCCGCCAGCCTGACGCAGCCCCATTCACCGTAACCCTTTGGGCCCTGCCCGTTAGCCAATTGCTCACCCATCGTATGATGTTTTTATTTAGCTGTATGGTGGACATTCATGTTCTCAGAGGCTACGATGAAGCTGGTGTTGAACTTCCTCTTAATACCGAGGAACATTCCCTGAATATATCACTCCAGAGCATGTTTTCCAAATCCTTAATTACATTTTATGGATCTTCCCTGAGCCTTGTCCAAATTATCAACACTCCTCCCCAATTGCAGGAAGCTAAACTGCAAACAGCTTTCCTATGGCTGCTGCCATAGGAAACACCCTATGGATATAAGATGACCTGACTGCACGACGCTTCCCTGGATGGCACACGAAAGCACAGCACGTGTCTGAAAATCCCACCTTTGGGCAGGTACAGGCAGAAACCGAGCTGATGAGGCCATACATCACAGCTGCCATAGCACAGTCCCATGGGGCGACTACAACATGTGTACGACATCTGCTTGAAAATGCAAGGCCGGTGACAACCCATTCCACCCTAGAATGAAGCCAGATCAGCTAAGCAGTGGTTGGCTGAGCCCACTCTGAGGTCATAATCCCATGACTTGGGAACAACAGGCTTCAAAAAAAGGCTATTTTTACGGGCCTTGCCTCCTGTAACAGCACAGGACGGAGAGGAGCAAGGGGTGATCCGAGCGCCCGCCTGTCCCCGAGGCACACAGTGGCAGCGGGTGTCCAGTTGTGTCTGGAAGCTGGACACCCCCAGGCTTCAAATCCTTGGTGGGAGAGAGGCACCAGGCGACTTCCAAACAGCCTCACCTCACTTCTGAGATGGTGGACTACTACAAAGTCCTTGGACTGCAAAAAAACGCCTCCCAGGATGACATTAGGAAATCCTACCGCAGGCTGGCACTGCAATGGCATCCTGATAAGAATCCCAGCAACAAGGAGGAAGCCGAAAAGAAATTCAAAGCTGTCGCTGAGGCATATGAAGTTTTGTCAGACGCTCAGAAACGGTCACTCTATGACAGGTCTGTTAAGGAGAGCATTTCCCACAGAGCAAGAAGTCCCTCGATGGGTCATAACAGCTTTTTTGACGCCACTTATGTATTCCAAGACCCCAGTGAGATCTCTAGGGATTTCTTTGGAGGGATGGATCCCTTTGTGCATGCTTTCTGGGACCCATTTGACAACCTCAGGAATGGTGATGAAAACAAGCAGGGTCCAAGTGGAAGAGGAAGCTGCTCCAGTTTGTTTTCTGACTTCGTGCAGTCTTTCATGCCGTTTAATCCATTCAGCCCCAGTGAGCAGCCCACCTTCTCCTTTGCTGAGGACATGGCTGAGCCACACAGTTTCAGATCAGTCTTGACCACTACTGAAGGGATCAACGGCAAGAAGGTCATAGAATATCCTGAGTTGGAAGGGACCCTTAAGGATCATCAAGTCCAACTCTTGACACCGCACAGGTCTACCCAAAAGTTCAGACCATGTGACTAAGTGCACAGTCCAATCTCTTCTTAAATTCAGACAGGCTCGGTGCAGTGACCACTTCCCTGGGGAGCCTGTTCCAGTGTGCAACCACTCTCTCTGTGAAGAACCCCCTCCTGATGTCAAGCCTAAATTTCCCCTGCCTCAGCTTAACCCCGTTCCCGTGGGTCCTGTCACTGGTGTTAATGGAGAAAAGGTCTCCTGCCTCTCGACACCCCCTTACGAGGAAGTTGTAGACTGCGATGAGGTCTCCCCTCAGCCTCCTCTTCTCCAGGCTGAACAGGCCCAGTGCCCTCAGCCGTTCCTCGTACGTCTTCCCCTCCAGGCCTTTCACCATCTTCGTAGCCCTCCTCTGGACACTCTCCAACAGTTTCATGTCCTTTTTATACTGTGGTGCCCAGAACTGCACACAGTACTCGAGGTGAGGCCGCACCAGCGCAGAGTAGAGCGGGACAATCACCTCCCTCGACCTACTAGCGATGCCGTGCTTGATGCACCCCAGGACACGGTTGGCCCTCCTGGCTGCCAGGGCACACTGCCGGCTCATATTCAACTTGCTGTCTACCACGACCCCCAGATCCCTCTCTTCTAGGCTGCTCTCCAGCGTCTCAACGCCCAGTCTGTACGTGCAGCCAGGGTTTCCCCGTCCCAGGTGCAGGACCCGGCACTTGCTCTTATTGAACTTCATGCGGTTGGTGATCGCCCAGCTCTCCAACCTATCCAGATCCCTCTGCAAGGCCTTTCCACCCTCAACAGAGTCCACAACTCCTCCAAGTTTGGTGTCATCAGCAAACTTGCTCAAAATACCTTTTATTCCTACATCCAGATCGTTTATAAAAATATTGAAAAGTACCGGCCCTAAAATGGAGCCTTGAGGGACCCCACTGGTGACCGCCCGCCAGCCTGACGCAGCCCCATTCACCATAACCCTTTGGGCCCTGCCCGTTAGCCAATTGCTCACCCATCGTATGATGTTTTTATTTAGCTGTATGGTGGACATTTTGTCCAGTAGGATCCTATGGGAAACCATGTCAAACGCCTTGCTGAAGTCCAAAAAAATCACATCAGCTGGTTTCCTTTGGTCCACCATACGGGTGATCTTATCATAAAAGGAAATCAGGTTAGTTAGGCAGGACCTACCCTTCACAAACCCATGCTGGCTGGGACCAATGACTGCTTTGTCCCCCAGGTGCACCTCAATAAGTTCGAGAACCATCTTCTCCATGATTTTACCAGGCACTGACGTGAGACTGACAGGCCTGTAATTGCTAGGGTCTTCTTTCTGACCCTTCTTGAAAATCGGCACAACATTTGCCAGCTTCCAGTCTACCGGGACCTCTCCAGATTCCCAGGATCGTTGAAAAATAATTGAGAGAGGTTCCACGATGACGTCCGCCAGCTCTTTCAGCACCCGGGGATGAATCCCATCCGGACCCATGGACTTGTAGGGATCCAGGTGGAGTAGCAAATCCCGCACGCGTTCAGGGTCGGTTGGGAGTTTGTCATCCCCACCGTCCCGGTCCTCCAGCTCAGGGCACCCTGGGTCCCGAAGCCCATCATTGGCATTGAAGACAGAGGCAAAGAAGGCGTTAAGCGTCTCTGCTTTGCCTATGTCATTGTCTGTGAGGAGACCTTCCCTATCAAGGAGCGGCCCTATGTATTCTTTAGTTCTCCTTTTTCCATTCACATATCTAAAAAAAAACCTTTTTATTTTCTCTCACAGACACGGCCAGCTTCAACTCTAGGTGTGCTTTAGCCACACGAATTTTCTCCCTACAAACACGAACAGCATCCCTGTATTCTTTCCATGACACCCGGCCCTCCTTCCAGTAGCGAAACACTCTCTGTTTCCGCCTTATCTCCATAAGAATGTTCCTGGTCAGCCACGCCGGCCTCCTGCCCCGCCTTCCTGACTTGCGATATTTAAGAATCGCCTGATCTTGTGCTTCTAGGAGGCATCGCTTAAAGAATGACCAGCACTGGTGGACATCGAGGCCTTCAAGAGCAGCTTCCCAGGGGACCTTGCTGACTAGTTCCCTGAGCAGCCTGAAGTCCGCTTTCCCCATATCTAGGGATGAGGTTTTGGTGGCACTTTTCCTTCTGTCACCGTAAATTTTGAACTCAACCACTTCATGGTCGCAATGACCGAGGCGGCCACCAACCACCACATCTCCCACCAGACCCTCTCTGTTTTCTAGCAACAGGTCTAGGAGAGCACCTTTCCTAGTTGGCTCCGTTAGCACCTGCACCAAGAAGTTATCATCTAGGTGCTTCATGAACCTCCTGGACTTGCTCGTGTCAGCCGTGTGGCACTCCCAGTTAACGTCTGGCAAGTTGAAGTCCCCCATAAGGACAAGGGAAGTTAATCTCGAGGCCTCTCTTAGTTCTGTAAAGAATAATTTATCGGCGCTATCGTCCTGGCCAGGCGGTCTGTAATAAACTCCCACAATGACATCCCTTTTATTCGTTCGTCCCTTGATCCTTACCCAGAGGCTCTCAACTTTGCCATCGCCGACCTGAAGTTCCACACAGTCCAGCCCCTGCTTCACATACATCACCACCCCACCACCTCGCCTACCCTGCCTGTCCCTCCTGAAGAGCCTGTAACAATCTATCGCAACACCCCAGTCACAGGACTCATCCCACCAGGTTTCGCTTATGCCGATGATGTCGTAGTTGCGGGACTGGGCCAGTACTTCTAGCTCATCCATTTTATTCCTCATACTGCGTGCGTTCGTGTAGAAGCATTTCAGGTGCATCTCCTTACACTCAGCACCTTGTGGATCTAACCGAAGGACCTCACTGGCACACAGCCCCTCTGATTCTAGCGTACCATCCCTTAGGTCTTCACCGGCGTGCCTGGTTTTAGCCCCTTCCCCCTTCGACTCTAGTTTAAAGCCCTATCTATCAGCCCTGCCAACTCCTGACCAAAGATCCTTACCCCTCTCTGAGAGAGGCGCATCCCATCCGGTGACATCAGGCCCGGTGTAGCATAGACCTTCCCGTGATCAAAGAACCCAAAGTTCTGCCGGTCACACCAGTCTCGAAGCCACGAGTTTATGCGAACAGCACACCTTTCAGCTTCGATCCCCCCTATCGGAAGGACAGAGGCAAACACAACCTGCGCGCCTGATCCTCTAAGTAGTTGCCCCAAATCCCTAAAGTCTCTTTTGATCGCCTTCGGACTTCTCGTTGCTACTTCATCGCTACCAGCCTGAAAGACCAGTAGCGGGTAGTAGTCAGTGGGCCGTACCAGGCCCTTGACTTTCTTGGCAACGTCCCTGACCCTGGCCCCAGGGAGGCAGCAGACTTCCCTATGGGTAGGGTCAGGCCGACAAATAGGGCCCTCTGTTCCCCTAAGGATAGAGTCTCCCACAACAATCACCCTCCTGTCTTTCTTGGTGGAGGCAGTCCTGAGGCGTGGAGTCGACCTCCTCGCCCTAGGCATCCTCCTGGGAACACTTTCTATCTCTTCCTCAGTCGCTGGTCTCTCAATCTCCAGGGCCTCAAACCTGTTTCGTAAGGGCACCTGGGAAGGTGGGGTCGGAAGGGGAGGGCATCGCCTGCCATGTCGAGCAGGGACCTGTCTCCATTCCTCCTCAACTCCCAGATCCCCTCCCTGTGCCCGACGGCGACAGGGCAGGGGGTCCACCCCCATTTGGGGTGTCTCACCCCGGTACCTCTCCTTGAGGCCCTGCAGGGAGTTACTCCACAAGTCTATCTCCCGCTCACACTCCCTGATGGCCCTCAACCTCTCCACCTCCTCCTTGAGCTCCGCCACCATGCGGATCAGGTCATCCCCCTGCTCACACCTCACGCACGCAGCGTCTCTGCCTCCCACCGATGGCAGC